TTTAAACAAGTAAACAATAAGCATGAGCTCATTGGTCATCCAAACTGCTACATGTGGCTGCTGGTCCAGCTCCCCCACTAGCTCCCAGGGAGCTGGCTGTTGCCCTGACTCTAACTATGTAACCCCTGAACTTCAGTGGTTACATAGTTAGCAAATTACATGTTTAACATTCCTACTGTAAAGTCTCCCAAGTAGCCACTCCCTTCTGAGGCGAGAGCTGTCCTTCCTGGATTAAGCCACATTAGTGACCTCAGCAGGAGCACTTCTCCCAGTGAAGTGTGTGTAAGTGTGTGTGTGTGTGTGTCTATTTTTTCCTGCCACACCCCTAACTGTCTTGTCAGTAAAACTTAAGTGGTATTGTAGTAAAAGTTCTGTTTAGTTACCCAGTCCACTAGCTAAACATTGATAGAAATGTAGCTTAATGATTAAGAAACCATTTATGCTAAATGGGACTAAAGTAGGAAGAAAAACAAGTCTTGAATAACTTCTTTCAAGAGAACAAGGGCAGTCAAGTTATTTACAAATAGTTGAGCTACAATCACCAGAACTATGGTGACCTTTTAACTCTAGTATTTTCAAAGCTAGATGGGTATCAAGTTACTCATTTCAGATTATAGCTAACTAGAGTATGTTAGCATGTGTACAAATGACTAGGTGTTCTAAATCAGGGGTGGGCAATGTTTGATCGGGGCGGGGAGGATATTCCAAGACTCTGGTAAGTAGCCATATGGATGGGGTGCAGAGGGGAACTTGGGTCTGAGAAGGTGTGGGGTTTGGGTTAAGGATGGGGCTGTGACTTGGTGCGGAATCTGAGGTAGTATGAATGCACCCACAGAGGCCTACCGGGGGAGACTCAAGACTGGGCCATTAATGCCAGCATTCCTGGTCTCATTCCATAGCTCCCTGCAGCAAATCAAGCCAAGCTAAACTACTACAAAGGTGTATTGTGCCTCTTTGGGGCATGCCTGTGTTTCTGTAAAAGCAGCAACCTTTTTAAAAAAAGTAACTGTTTTGGTCACTTGGCATAGAGAATCTTGTAATCCTTGGGTTAGCACAGAGGAAAAGAAGTTATGCCATATTCCACCCTGGTCAAACCAGTGTCATGATGAGCTACATAAGCCTTGATGGATTCTGTCTGGCATATGCACACATTTCTCTCCAGAGTCCAGAAAGTGTGAGCACTGCTGTTCTAGACTATTTCTATAATCTCACACTGGTGGTGTGACTATCACTTAACTCCTGTAAGAATTTCTCAGTGGGATAAGAGGCTAGTATGCTACAGATTGGCTGCGATCGAACAGCCCCATGTAGTATATTTTGCAGAGTTGCTCTGATGTTGCAAAATGCTTTAGAGGTGTAACTTACCCTCTTCTCTCAGCCCCAGAGCTTACAGACGGTGCTTTATGAATAGTAACCCGCCTTCAACCTAAAATTCAGAAACGTTTTTTTATGCCATCAGTAGTACCTTGTATTGACAACTTGCAAATTATTGTAATGTCTTACTTTTTTTTTTTAGTAAGGGCTGTATCTCTTAAAGGAGTTAACAGGAGGAATCTATTATCCTTCTTGTTCATAGGATTTTCTTCTAAGCAATAAAGCCTAATTCACCTATCCTGAGTTTGAGGTCTGTATAATGACTAATGCAAAGTTGGAATAAAATTAACATTTCTTTTAGTATTGGGTTAATTTATATGAACAAACTCTCAACCTTGAAGACAAAATATTTTAAATGTAGATTATGAAACCCACTCGAATAAGGAAGGTTCTAAACTGTCATTATTACAAAAATGAATTGTGCACACTGTTGAAAAATAGTAGCTGCTTTGCATTCAAGTGCTCCCTTGACTGCCTTCAGTACAGTAATCCTGCTGCTGTGTCCACAACAGCTGTGATATGGTCTGATTTCCTTTTTCCTGCCTGGAACTATTGACCATACAGAATCCTCAGAGTAATTGCATGTACTGGTGTGGCAGAGGGAGGAGGAACAAACACATGATTGCAGTCCTTCCATATAAGGAGAAGTGTGGGGTGATGGGCTACTTCCAATTGAAATGCAGAGAACACATGACATAAAATGCAATAGTTCTTCTGGTGGGCGCTATTTTAAAAATAAAGGATGTTACACGTTTGCTCGTGCTGGCAGATTGCAGAGGAGAAGCACTGGACAAAGGCACAGACGATGCACTGTATGACTCAACTCTTTACTGTTCTGATGATTGGGATTTTTGGGATGTCAAAGATCAAAAATTAATTTTTTGGCTAAACCGTGTAGGATATAAATAGAAACTTTTTTATTGTATAAAATTGTAAGTAATTCAACTGAAGACTATAGTTCTAAAAATGAATGGGAAAATCTTCAACACTAACAAACCTTACAGAATATATTCCATAAATCTCTAGTGCCAATCCAGCACAGAACCAGATGAAGAATCTTTGTGTCTTTGCAAATACTGCAGCCTTCAGTGACTGTTTTTTTTTTTTTGTTTTTGTTTTTTTTTTTTTTACTTGTTCAGGTAACTAAATGTTGGTAACTGTTTCCATGAAGGTGTGTTAAACTGTTACTTTGTCACTTTGATCTTTGCAGGGACAATGCTGTCTGACTCGGATATGGCTACTGTGATGGTAAATTCAGCCCCCAGCTCGGATGGTCCAGTGCCACATGCAGTGTCAGTTAGTGATATCTTGGTGAACGGTCCATCTAGGTTGGTTCAGTTTCTATCTTTTTCTACTTTGGTAATCGGATCGGAATTAAAATGTAGACTATTGTGGAAGCCCACAAGGGCTTATGCTGGGATTTTTGTAAGAGTTCAATATTTGAACTATTGTTTTTATATTGTCTATAAAATCTCCTGTGAGGGAAGAAAGAATAGAATTTGCTTTACACAATGTAGTGACAAGCTTCTGAAATACTGTACTCTACATTTAATTTATGGTCAAAAAGCATTCTGTTCAGGCAGTCTGAGCTCCTAAAAGAGTATGCAATTAATGTTAACTAGAGGCAAACTTAAATTCTTTCAGATGGAAATATTTAGCACTTTTAGTTATTGAACATTGTACTGTAAATAGAACATTGGATATATTCAGGGAAACTCAAATGTAGGAAAGTACATCTTGTTTGTGCCTGATGTGAAGGAAAACAAGGGTTGGCTTTTGGAGGGGGGGGTCAAAGTAAGCAATGTAAAGCCAATGAGGAAAACCTAAAAGTAAGAATCGGGATCTCTATCTTTTGGGAAAAATCCAATATAAATAAGGGGAGAAGGATGGGGAAGTAAAGGAAGACCAGTGATAGTCTGTTCTTTCACCTAAATAATTACTTTATATAAGCACTGCTCTAGAAACTGAGCGGGAGTATTTCAAAGATAATGGATATATCCCAAAACACAGTTCAAGGAAGTAATTTAAAGAGGCATCTCTCATCCTGCCTACTTCTAGCCAAAAGAACAATAACCCTGAGATGGTCCTGAAACATGCAAACCAGTGTAGCTCCAGGAGACCCAAATCTCCATATGTCTGTTTAAGCCATTCTAAGCGTACACACCCCTGCCCCCAACATTACAATCTATTGTTCCAGCAGTGTGGTGTTACGTGCAGCATAAGCATTTCTTGAAGACCTATTTGGCCCTTGTGCTGGGGGAGCATCAGACACTTCAGAATTTTTTGATTAATTCCATAGGGTCACCTGATCAGCTCTAGTCTGACTCCCTGACTTAGGTAGCTTCTCCCAGGCCTGGAATAAAGATTTGTGCATATCCTTTAACCCTAGACAATGGAGAGGTGCCTTGCAAAAGATTTTAGACTCCCAAATCCAGTGAGATTTGGGTGCCAAACTCCCCTGAGAATCTCTGCCTAAAATCTTCTCTCTCAAACGCACGAAGAGAACCACTTTTTTCCAGTAGTAGGAGACTAGCCTGAGGTTTTTCAGGTGAACTCAAAGGAAAGCTTGTTCTGTGGTGATGGTTGTAGAAGTGTGAGTACTTTAGTGCCACAACCTACAGGCACCTCCCTGGTCTGGCACCCTCTGGACCTGACTAGTCCCAGATAACCTCCCCATGTCTGGAAAAAAACCTTATTTCATCCTGCAGCCCTGCTGAGCCGTACACCAGCTCCCTGCCGCCGCCGCCGCCCCACCCCCAAGCCCAGATGAACTGTGTAGCTCTGCCCTGTGTCTGGCTCCTGGCTTCCTCCACAGCCCAACTGAGTGGTACACAGGCTCCCGGCTTCCAAAACCCTGCAATGTGTCAGGACTCTGATCCTGGAACATCTGAGGTTATGCGGGACTATGGATGTTGCTGGACCAGAAAATCCTGGATCTTAGAGATGCAAACCTGTACTAGAAACAACCCACCATTTTCTAGTGATTATCAAATTGCCTTCATCTACACTCCGAGTTTCTTGGCAATATGCAAATGAGGGACTCATTGCATGAGTTGTGATCTCATTTGCATATTCTGCCGATCCGTTTTTGCGCAAAAACCCCTATTGGCAGAAATATGCAAATGAGATCACAACTCCTGCAAATGAGTCTCTGTAAAAATATGCAAATGACGGCTACATCTACACTGAGTCCTCATGTTAAAAAGCAAGTACCTCTTTGACCTGCGATAGTTTCCCAAACTTGCTTCCATTAAGCAACCTCATTGTACTGTTAGAGTAAACTGTACCATTTGCTAATATTGCGACACTGCCCTTCTACTTATTGATGTGGCCTAACTGCTGTCTGTTTTTGTCAAGATTCAGTAAGATGTGGGTAGCATCTCGAATGCCTGTGGTTCTCCAGAGAACTGCATTTTAAGCAGAACAGGTCAATTTCTCTTCTAAATGGGAGAGCTAGATGTTTGGGGTGAGGGCAGAAACATGCCTGGACTCAACATGCTGATACCAAAGCCAACAGCTGAAACTGGCTGCAGATAGGTCTGTAATCATGTGCCAGGACATTTGTATGTCACAATGACCTGGCAAAGATTTGGTATTTCTATAGCAACAGTTAATGTCCTATCCAAGTGCTGCTCTGCCTGCATGTAGAGTAAAAACTCTTGTACTAGGAACAGGCTAGTTTTCAGAAGTCAGTTATGTCATAAGAACCTAGTGAGTTCTAGAAGACTGGCACTTGCTCAAACTTCTCTGGAAGTGGACATCTTGAGGGATTCCCCTCCACCCCCTCCAAAAAAACCAACAACCTATAGATCAATAATTAACACAATTGTGGGATTCTTCCAAGTACCTGAGCTCTGATGGAGAAGAGGGAAGGTTCGGCCCTTACATGAAGAAATGCTCACTTACCTAATCTAGAAATGTCAAGGCATGACAGACTTTAGGGAAGCAAGAAAGCAATTTGAGAAGGCAAGATAAGTGAATATCCAATCCTTCTAGAATGGAAAATAACCTTTTCTATAGATTACTTGGCAGTTGTGGTTGACTAATATGAGTTAAGGTGACTGTATGAAGAACATTGTAGAGTTTAGGGGTACAAGCACCATCCATATGAATACTAAGTGGGACAGTTACACTTGTTACCAGAATGAGATCCCTTGAGTGAGTGGTGTATGGGCCCCCAAAAGTCAGACTGGAGTTGACCTTCCAAATAGGTTATCTGAGGAATGTAACTAGCAGGTTCTTCATTACACCAAACATTTAGAACCTGAAGCCAGAGAATGAAGATCTCATAAACTTGTCTTGAGAGGAAGAATACAAAGGCTCTCCATTCCTATCAGCAGCCAAGAGGAGAGTAGAGTTAACTTTTTGCGGGAGAGGTGAAGGGACGGTGCTTACCAGATATCTTCCAGCAATGTTGGAGAGATGCTGCTCAGTACTGTTATGGGATGATCACTTAACTGTTATGGTGGTGACTTGGTTAACTATAGATTTTCATGGCATGCTCTGGCTCATACAAGGTCACTACCTCAAAGGTCTTGTCTAAGTCTAGACCATAAAAATGGTGAAACATTCTTTAGATGGTTAAGCTTTTTCAGCCATCTAACACTGGTATGTCAAATATTGTATGACTTGTGAAAATCTCCTTCCATAAAAAAGCAAGGTTTATTGGAGATAGCAGTTCATGTGTGGTAGATAATAGGTTAAAGAAGGGGAATAGAAATGCAGGATGGGCTAGGAAGAGAACTGAAGGCATTATTGAGGAGTACACCTAAATAGGAATCAAAATTGATTGTATGTGGCAAAATAAGATGGACTGCAACAGGATGTAAACCTTCATGCTTCAAGGGAAAAGCCAACCACTAACTGATAAGGGAAGTTTTTCTAAACCTTTAATGAACTAACCATACCAGAAGAAGTTTACCTTCCTTTGAAACACATGTTTGTTGGCTGACTCATACCAGAATTTGGGCAACAGCAGCGTTGGAGGCTGTGAAAATTTACCTCTTTTCAAACTGTTGAATCCTTTTGCAGAGTTGCTGGGGGAGTGTGGGTGGCGGGGGGGACAAGCAGTCTTAGGGGCCACCCAGCAATCTTTCAGAAAAGTCCCTGATCAGTGGTAAAGGGGGTAAGGAAGACTGCTCTGGATTGGTTCCCTGTGGTGATAGGGGAAACAGGTCTTCCCTGCTTAACAGGAGAAGAGTCCTCCACTTCTGGCATCTTTTAAAAGCTTGCTACTCAGGTTTTTTTTAAATGCCTGTCTTCTAGCTGCCATTGGATAATAAGCTTTGAGTGTTCAGACACAGTTTGCCTGGAAATAAAAGTAATCTGGGTTTTTTGACACTAACATGAACTGTTCTGTGTTGAAACTTACAAATATTTTATAAACTTTTCTGAAACGGGGACTGTCTTGTTATGTTAACCCCATATAGACAGTAAAAGGAACCACAACAACTCAAATCAGAATACTAGGGTGAACAATATAGTATGAACCACCCTGACATCAAGCGATAAGCATAACCAAATTATAAAACTGTGAAAAGAATATCTGAAAACTGAGAGCATGTGATGAGAATATGCTGTGCCCTTGGATATGTTTTAGTATACTAATCTAATACTTTGGTGCTTGCCATTGCTTTGCAGCACTGTTGAGGACTATATCACTGAGACCACTGAAGAGACTAAGACTGAGGAGTCTCAGTTAGATATGTTTAGATCCAAAGGTAAGCACAAAATTTTCAGTTACAATTATCTGTTAAGACTATTAAATGGCTTTAAAAATCTTTAAATTGTTGACTTCCAAAATTGTATCCTGTAAAACCAAAGTAGAAACCTAAACTGCAGGATAGTCTCCTGAGAAGCTATGCTGAATTTAGCTTGGGTTTCTATGGTGGCCCTCAGGGAGGGTAAATATCCACCCTCCCACAGGGCTCATCCAGACTACGTGGAACCGTCAGAAGAGGATATGCAAATTCCGTGGGACTTTGCATACTTCTTCCAATCGCACTTTGGAGAGCTTTCCAAAGTGAAAGTAGTTTAGACGCAGCTTTTTTCAGCAACTCCCCTCTTGTCGAAAAGCTGCATAAACCTCATTGCTTTCAAAAGTGCGATTGGAAGAATATCCTCTTCGATGGTTCTGTGTAGTCTACATGAGCCCACAGTGTAGTAACACAAGCCCCTGCTCGGGTTGGGCAAGAGGCACTGAATGAGTCTGGCATCCACAGAAGGGTACCAGCTCTTCCTGAAGAAACTTTTTTTGGAAGAATTACACCCTGCTTATTAGAGGGAACATAGCAGGAAGTTGAGTAAAGTTTCCCACTTTGTTCTGTTTTGGTTTCAGCAAAATTCTAGGCTCAAAATAGAATCTGAGCTATCTACCAACTTACCCAAAGTACAAAACAAGTGATGGTTCACATGACACCTTTATGGGTCAAATGTCTGAGTGTACCTATCTTATAAACTGCCCCTTTCATAGTGGCAGAAGGAAAAATCTAAATACAAGACATTGCACTTATAATGCCTTTATATTTGTCTTTAATTACTAGGTCCTTCATCTCCAGCCTTATGGACGACACGACGGGATGGAGAAGTTAAACTAAGGCTAGACCAACATGGTATTGGTAGTGAGAAACCAAAGACTGTTAATGAACTATTACAGGAATCTGTTAGGAAATATGGTGACTATTTTGCCCTTGCATCGAAGAAGGGAGACAAGTGGATCAAGCAAACTTATAGGCAATACTATGAGGAATGTCGGAAGGCAGCAAAAAGCTTCATAAAGGTATGTCTTGTAGAACTTTCATTCACCTAACCACTGTCACTTTCTGCAGTTACATTCATATTAAGTTATTAAAACTTGCCTTAGGTATACACTAATCTTACAGGAAGAGGAGTGGCACATGATGGAAAGTAGCTCAGTATCCTGGAGTCCTAAGAGTCATGCTTTGACTTGATTTGTTAGCAGCAAATGTATGCGTCTCATTATTAACTGAATCATTTTGTCTGAAACTTCTCATGTACTCGTGCCAGAGGATGACTCTCTTCTGAAGGCATCCAAGTTAGTTGGTTTCTCATCTTGGGGATATAGAGCCTTCCTCAAAGGAATTTAAACTTGAACTCCAAATTTGGCTTATTCTGTTATACCATCTTAACTCCAAAAATGTGGGTCAATTCTGGACTTGATTAGTGTGCTTGAAACATTCTAATTCCCCCCCCCCCCCCCCAACTATCCAGAAACTTTAAGACTGCCATACGAAACTGTCAAACTTACCAGCCAAGTCTCAATCTATTTGCTTATCCTCTCCTACAATAGCTATTGAACTGAGGATGTGCTTGTTTTGGAGAGTATTTATTATCTTTCAAGTCTGGCTTCAGGAGGCTAAGCTAGTCTTAAGGACCTCTCCTCAACTGGCAGTGCCAGCTGCCTTGACATGGCTATTACTGTATGCAAGTGTCTTACTGTCCATAAAATGTGTTCTCATAAAATCTCACTTAAGGAAATGACCAAACTGGAAAGTGAATCTCGTATAAGCCTGAAAAATTGCTTCAAAATATTTTGCTTGGCTTTTCACTAGCATACATCTTGTCTTTCACCCCTAGTGTAGGAACTGAATGACTGATTATATATGGCTGAATATACTAGCCCTCTTGTCCAGGTTTCCCTGATGACAAGAGAACATTTGAGAAACTTAACAATCTTGCATGTGCTTTCTGCTAAGCTATTGCTCTAACTTAAAGAAGCTCTGAAACCCCAGACTCCTGATCTTCCAATTATGTGGAGCTCCTTCAGCAAAATCAGGAGGATTTGATGTGAAATCCAGGTTGAATTAAAGTTCATAGCAAAACCAAGCCACTAGATATTGATGCGTCCAATTTTTTTTCAACTTTAAAATGTGTTAACCCTCTAACTATAAGATACTAAATGCAAGTGTCTCCTACTAATTTTCTCATTTACTGCCACTTTAACTTGCCCAAGCTCACAGGAGGAGCAGCATCTGCTTGGATTTAAAGCTCAGGGGTCCGGATTCCTGATCTGGTATTAGTAATACCACTTCATTGGGATGAATTGGTGTTAGGGTATTTGCTGGGAGTCTGTATTTGCATTGTTAGCCTTGAGATTGTCAAAGGAGTGAACAAATCAGAGCAACATCTTGGAGACTAAATTTAACAAACCTGTGTGTGACTATGCTAATCCTTCAGGGAATTTCTTAATGTAAATCATCTTGATGTTGATATATATTCTGCTGCTAGCAGCCATGTAGAAGAGATGTCCAACACACTAAAGCCACGTTCTAAACTACCATTTACATTGGCAAAACTATGTTGCTCAGGGGTGTGAAACATGCTCAGCAACACACATTTCACTGGCTTAAATGATTTGCAGAGTGCTACATCAGTGGGGAAAGCCTCTCCCATCAATATAGCTACCTCTGCTTGTTGAGTAGCTCTGTCAAAGCAAGAAATTTCGCCTGTCTGCATACTGACTACACAAGTGAACTTATGGAAGCACAGCTGTGCCCTTGTAAGCTTGCTAGAGTAGACCTGGCCAAACTCATTTTAAGGCATTTATTTTTCCAAGAGAACTAAGTCCTATCTTGTCTGATCTTTGTTTACAGTTGGGATTGCAGCGTTTCCATGGAGTGGGCATTTTGGGATTTAATTCTGCAGAGTGGTTTATTGCTGACATTGGAGCTATTCTTGCAGGGTAAGAAACCAATTTAGTCTCTACTGTACCAGTGAAAGCTCTTTTTATTGTCAAATGCCAATATTTGTTAAACCTGATGGAATGATTGTCAAAGACTCTACTTTTATTGCTAGCAAAGATGTGTATATAGTCTAGTCTAAGCCAGAGGTGGGGAACCTTTTTGGGTCAGTGACCACTGACCCACTGAAAAATCAGTCAGGGGCTGCACATGAAGGAGAAAGGGGAGGAGGGGAAAACCCAAACCCTCACTGACATGGCCTCTGAGCAGAAAGGATGCTGCGGGGGGAGTTCTGAGCCTTGGGGGCTCGCTCCAGTCCTCAGGCCTGAGGTTCCCCAGCCCTGGTCTAAAGCTCATTAGCATCTCTAACACATGAACAAGTAAGACTGAGGGATACATAGCTTGATTAAAGGATGTCCTGCTCCTATAGCATTGAGCTGAAGCAACATTTCATTGCTTATCATGTTAGGGATAGAGGGTGGGGGTTCTACTAGACCTGGAGCTGAGGTTCTGCAAAGACAATCTAGTCTATTGAGGCTTCTGGAAATCACAAATTCTAGATCTTCATGAATGGATTCTCAATTTCTATAACTTATCTCCCTTGTGTTTATCGTTAATCTGAACTTTTTTTTAACATGAAACACTTTTTACTATGGGGAAGCGTCTTCTGTAAACTATTACTTTACTAGTTCTCCTCTCTTTTATAGTGGTTTTGCTGTTGGCATCTACACCACAAACTCTCCTGAAGCCTGCCAGTATGTAGCAGAAAACTCTGGTGCTAATATCCTGATTGTAGAGAATGACAAGCAGCTGCAGAAAATCCTAGAAGTAAATATCCTTTTTATTTTAAACCACCTGTTTAGGTGTCAAGCATATGAAAAGCATTTGGCTGGGTTAAGTAGTTGGGCAAGTATATCAGTTCCATTGCTATTTGTAACGAAGGGTGTGTTCCCTCTTCTGTTTGTTCTGTTGAACCAAGAAATACCCATTCTTTGAGGGCTGAGGATGAAAGCAGATTTGGCAGTACAGCAGATGATGGCACTCCTGCTTCCCTTCCCCCCTCCCGCCCCCCCCACTTCAGACTGTACCTGGTGTATGCATAGTACTCTTGGGATAAGGGGTGGCACACTAATGCTTGCAAGCCTTCCTGTAATCGGTCAGGGAAGCAAATTAGGACTGAAGTGAAAAGATGACTGCATTCTTACACATAAGGGTCTGAATCTCTTTTAATAAGACTCCATCTAGTGGTCTTGCTTATCAGAGGTAGATGAGTGGAGCTCTGTCAGCCGACGGTCAGGGCAGTGAGTCCCTTAGGACCGGCTGAAGTTCTTTTAAATTGTGCTTGGTTCTGTTACAGCAACTGAAGGAGTCAGGTTAAAGCTTAAACAGTTACTATTTTATTGTTACAGGGTAAACTTAGTTGTTAAATGCTACTACTGTGTTACAGATAACACAGACACTACAAAGGACAGGACAGAAATTACACTAATAAGTCACTTACAGGTACCATGAAACCCTTTGGTTCTCTGAGCTCTTATTAAATGCATGCAAAATAGACACCTAGCAGGTATATATTCTCACCCCTGCGTTCCAGACTTGGCGTGGCCAGCGTCTTTCTCTCAATCCCTCGGGAAGAAGTAGGGCGAGGTTGGGCGTCCCACAGACCTCGGGAGACAATCAATACCTGCCAGCAGGTATAGATGATTGGAGCTCAAATGGGGTGGGCGGCTGAACCTCTTTTTATACCCCTTGGGTCATGTAGGCTTCTTCCTGGGCTCAAGTGGCCAATTAGGAAAAATGGCTTTGAACACCAAGTTTCCCACGAAGGGTGCAAAGCATAATTTACACCTGGGAAAAATGCAGACAATGGGCACCTCTGGTATGTGATGGGCGAAGATTCCTCTCTGGGACAGTGCAGGCGTGTCAATTACTGGTACTAGCCATCAGGGCAACGGGAGGCCCCGGGTCGTCAGCTAGCCCATTTACTGTCTGGTTTCTGTTTATGGTAGAGTCAGGGACAGGCACCACACCTGCGTTCCCAGGGCATCAAAGGCTGACTGCCTTTCTCTTGCTCTCTGGGGGGGGGAAAAACAATTGTAGCCGAATCAATGTTGAAAGGGAAGTTGAAGTAAACATTCAGTCAAATCTCTAAAACCACAGAATACTACAGGCAAAAATGTAGCATCACTACAAATACCATCATGGGTTCTATAAAATGTCAGTCTGGATACTTACTTTCTGTTTACCTGAAATTCCTCCCATAGTACATGAATCCTACTGGAGTCTAATTTAAAAAGCATTAATACTCTCCACTGTAAAGGTGGCTGCGTTTTCAATTGTGGATGAAGCTGCTATCTTAAGTCTCCAGCTTGAAGTATGTAAGAAATACTAATTTACTCTATCTGCTGCTTTTATTACAGGTTCAGCACAAGCTCCCTCTTCTGAAAGCAATCATTCAGTACAATGACGAGCTTAAGGAGAAAAGACCAAATCTCTACACTGTGAGTAATGTTCTATAAGTAACACTTGGGGTATTGCTTTCATATTGCAAATGCTCCCAAATAACTCTGCTCCCAGATAACTAGGTATACTTTATGGTGTTGCAACTACACACATGATATGCACCCGTAAAGAGTAATACTGGCAAGATACCCCATGCTTGAAGGATAATCAATTGCTGCCACCAGGCAGGCATAAATGGCACTTGCTGAAGATTCTAGGTTCACACCCTACTCTGACTCCATACAGTAAGGCTATGTCTACACTACAGTTTTTTTGAGCAAAAATCTGCAGAGCACTCATGCGTCAAGCGCATTTTTGCACAAGAAGATCTACAGTCAATCGACAGAACAGAGGGCTTTTTGCAGTGTAGGTATACCTCCTTCTACAAGACAACTCCTTTTTGCACAAGAACTCTTGTGCAAAAAGGTGTGGACGCTCAACAGGGGTTTCTTGCACAAAAAGAGCCTATCAAAAAGCACAGGTGCTCTGATGGGCATTGTGTGAATGACCATCAGCACTTTCTTGCAAAAGAGTGTCCATGCAGTGTGGATGCTCTTGTGCAAAAGCACGTCACTTTTGCAATGTGCTTTTGAGGTGTGGACATGCTCTTGCACAAGCTTTTGTGGAAGATCTCTTCTGCAAAAAGCTTCTTGTGCAAAAACCATGCACTGTAGACAAAGCCTAAGGGAGAAATATAAGTAAATTAGCAGCTGCTATACCACTTCAGGTATATATGGCACTATAGAGCTTTCCAGTTTTAGAGTCATAACTTTCTCAGGATTAGAAAAATAAGGGCAGTAACACTTCCTGTTATACAATAAAATCTCACCGTTTGTGGTGGTGTTTTCTTGGCACCATTGTAAATGGTGAATACTGGGAGCCTGGCCCTCACGTGGAGCTTGCAGCAGAGAGCTCCCCACAGCAGGGGTCAGGGTGCAGTGAGGCAGTGGGAGACATCCATGAATAGCAATTCCCTCAATTGTGAGGGTCTGTTGTAGCCATTTCTGGAAACAAGTCTAGTCTTCCAATCAAGAACACTTAAAGAATCCCTCTTTGAAGTGAGGGGATGGGGAGCAGTGCAAGAGCGGTATCACTGCTATTTCTCATGGCTCACCCCCGTGGAAGCTTCTTCTAGATTTTGCTCTCTAGGGAACACTTTTTTGGGGTGGGGAAAGTTTGCTTATATTTCTACACAAATAGATGGAGATGGAGCAGGATAACTCTACAGCTGTGTAGGGTGGGTATAGTCATTACATCCAAAAATAAAAGCCATGGAGAAGTAGGTTCTTTGGCCCTCCAGGATAGCAGGAGAGAGAGCCTTGCTAATTAAGCACAGAAATGGTTTCTTGCAGATGTTCTAGTCCACTTTCTTAAAACAAGCCATTGATATGCAGGTAAGACTCAGTGAATGAATCACTACCAGCCCAGGGAGCTTCATTAAAACGACTCCTTCTCCAAAACATGTCTGTTTTCTCTACGTGTCCGCAGAGTAAAATCATTGTATTGGTGCCACTTCTCTTCCCCCTCACAGCTTTTACAGTGGATTGTAATGTAAGTGATTTCTTGATGGAAAGATCTTCATGTATTAAGTGAGGCTATAAATAAGGGTCTAAAACTGTTTTTTCCAGGGAGATTTCAATCATGGTCTTTGCCAGTGTTCCCTCTTAAGATTTTTTTTCCATCTGAGCAGAGTGAGTCTTGTCTTTGCGTACATGTCGTCAATACTGGCGCATGAGTGCACAGCCTCACTGCGGGCCAGCTCCAGCTGTGGCACACCAGGCATCCCCCTGCTATGCAGCCCAGGCTGCCAGAGCAGCCCCCAGGCTGCCAAAGCATTGCCCCCACAACACTGATCCTTCCTCCTCACACTCAGACTCTCCCCAGCAGATCAGCTGCATCCCAGGACTCCCACACTCCGCATGGGCTGTGATGGCTGCATCCAGGTTAGGGCCCTGGTGCTATTTTTAGCACCACTTCCCTGGCTCAGGAGCAGCTACACCATGGCCCCAGTAGCAGTCCCAGAATATGGGGCAGCCACCTGCCATGCAGCTGGGGCCCCAGCTGCTCTAGGGAGTGTGGCTAAGGGTAGGACTGTACTGTATAAAAATTGTACTGTCCCCCAGGAGCACCTGGTCCACGGCTGCTAAGGCTGGGACTGTAGCAGGGGCCGTGGTACTATTTTTATTTTTTTTATATAAGT